AAACAAAGTTACTATTTCAAAAGATTACAGGACTGATTTCACGCAAAAAGATCTCAAATAAAGGGTGCTCACTTTTGTGTTCAGTGGCTGTCGTTTGCTGAATTTGGTCTAGTAAAGACAGTATGTGGCAGAGCACTGTGCACAATCTGGTATACACCACACTTGGTTTCTTATTCAAGTTGAGGAGGACAGTGTGGAACTCCAAAAGGACATTGAGAAGTTGGTGGAATGGGGGATAGGTGGCAGGTGAGGTTCGATACAGGCATGTGCGGGGTGATGCATTTTGGCCAGAAGAACATTGAAAGATGATATAAAATAGGGGTATGATTCTTAAAGGGTGGGGTGGGGAGTGTATGAGCAGAGGGACCTGGGTGCATGTGTTCACAGATCATTGAAGATAGTAGGATAGGTGGAGACAGCAATTAATAAAGCTACAGTGTTCTTGGCTTCATTAGTAGGGGCATAGAGTACAAGAGCAAGGAGGTGATGTTGAACTAGTAAATGACACTTGTTCAACCTCAATTGGAGTATTGTGTACTGCTTTGGGTACCACATGATAGAAAAGTTGTGAACGTATTGGAGAGAGTGCAGAAGCGATTTACAAGAATGCTTTGAAGAATGAGAAACTTCAGTGATGAGGATAGATTGAAGAAGTTGTGACTGTTCTCCTTAGAGAGAAGAAGGCTGAGAGGAGATCTGATGGGGGTTTTCAAAATCATGAGCGGGCTGGACAGAGTAGAGAGGAAGAAGCTGTTCCCCTGGTAAAATACAAAAGCTTAAACACAGGTACCATCAGGTTCAAGCACAGCTTCTTCCCCGCTTCTTCTGAATGGACCACTCGAATTTCATATTTAATGTTGATCTTGCTCTTTGTGCACCTTCTCTGCAGTCATAACATTGTATCCCTCACTGTGTTCTATGATCCTAAAGCACTTAGAATGGTATAATCTGCCTGTACTGCATGCAAAACAAAACTTTTCTTTGTATGCGGGTACATGTGACAATAATAAATCAAATCAAATAAAAGAAAAAAGAACAAGTGGGCATAAATTTAAAGTGCTGTGCAAACGAAGCAAGGGTGATGTGAAAAAAGCCTGGCAGGTTCAATTGAGGCATCAAGAGGGGACTGGTGGTTATTTGGATAGAAATGACATGCAGGGGTATGGGGAAAATGCAGGAGATTGGCACTGGGGTTAGAAGCAGTGCAGGCACTAAAGGCTGAATGGCCTTTGCAGACAATGCTGTGGTTCTGTATATGGATTCTGTGCCTTCCATATGGGTTAGCGCACACTGAAAGCAGTCCTACTAAATTCCTGGGATTGTAGAGAGTATCAAAGACCAGTTCCAGTCTGTGACTGGCAGCGCTGAGGGTTAGTTATCCGCTAATCACAGCTGCTCACGGTGCTAGGGTCTGACAACCTTTGGAGCTGTAAATTGAGTTGAATTTGTGAGGAAAGGTCACTTGACCCAAACGTCAACTCTTGATTTCTCTCCACAGATGCTGCCAGACCTGCTGAGCTTTTTCCAGCAATCTCTGTTTGTTTCTGATTTACAGCATCCGCAGTTCTTTCGGGTTTGTTTTTAAACTTTCGAGTTGTGGCCCTTGAGGGATAGTTGGCATGTGCCCTTCTCCCAGGGCGTGGAGTGTGGGTTAAAATTGAAAACACATCACATGTGAATCTGCCTGTGTGTGTGTGTGTGTGTGTGTTTTGTTTTAAATAAAAGCGCAACCTACATCGATCACCAGATGTTTTTTCTCTCTCTCTCTCTGTCTGTTGAGCCCTGAGCTTTGCCTAGGGTGCTAATTAGGAGCTAACATTTGGTTCTGACATCGAGAACAGAGAACTGAATGCTGCGATACAGTCAGTGACGAGAATAGGTGACAGCAATTTTCCCCAAAGGGGGCTGCTTGTCTAAGGGGTGGAGAGGAGATAGAAAGGAGCTTCTCTGTGGAGCAGGCAAAACCTGGGATTGCATGCTAATACTACAGCTGGTCCCAACCAGAGGCGATATTGATTGGGTCTAGCTGTAATTCTGCTCTGCAACAGTTGCTGTGTCTGTTTGCAGTGAGCTCCTCATTGATTCAAGAAAGCCAGGCTGCTCTGTGTGTGAGAGAGAGAGAGAGAAAAAAAAATCTACCTTTTTTTTCGAAACAAAATCCACCAAACCCTTGCCTGCTGCCCGGAGGGAAACATGATCGGTTTGAACAGTGTTCACACAGGCGAGAATCTGCGGCCCCGTACGGCAGCGTCTGCCCGCTATAACCGGGATTACTGCGGGGCACACGCCGCTCGCTACCGGCCGCCGCAGCGCTCCAAGTCCTTGCGAAATCCCGGCGTCGACAAACACAAGGTAAAACCGGCGTAAATCCCCCATTTCCTCCCCCCACCCCAAAAAAAAACTCACATCTGAGCAGCTTTGCAACATCGGGATGTTTCTTTTTTAAAAAAATGCTGATCGAATCCGAATTTGCAATTGTTCAGAAAAATTGTTGTGTTTTTGTTTCAAAAGGAAGTAAAATTTTAAGGAAATTAGGAAACTTGATCAAATCGAATGATATTCTCTGCTGCGTGTGCATGGTTGGACTCTCCTGGTTTAGTTGTCCGGAGCATGCATTGGATAAAGATCCCACAAACAGCTAAAGTCAAATATTTAGGGGAGGGCAGGGAATTTGGGATGGGCTTTACTTGCTCTCTCCCACTCCCGACGGTGTGTTGGCGTTGGGGGTGCGGGGGGCAATGCGCCCCAGTGCCCAGGAATGTGCAAATATCAGCCCCCCCATCGCCAGGTTTGTTTTGCTGCAATGCAGCATAATATTGAGAGGGTACAAAAGTCTTGAGACCCGCAGCTGTGCATCACTCGAAGTTGTTCCTGGACTGGAGCTCTGTCATTCCTGCTGTTTTGCACAGTGCCTTCCTGAATCGGTGCGCATGCAAGCAGCGGTAATGCCATCGTTGCAATCTTGACTTTACAGGGACAAGGCTTAATCGCCCAGTAAGTGGGAGCTCAGCCCTAGGATTCAGTCTCAATTTTTCATTCAAATCACTGCCTGCTGTGGATGCATTCCGTTCACGTTATACTGTGTACCTCTTCATTAAATTGTGTTTTTTTTTGTTATTAAAATATACTTTTTAACTAACCTGTTCAGGAATGTTGTTACGTGCCTCTGGTGGGACTTGAACTTGGATCTCCTGGCTCAAAGGTAGCGGCACTACCACTGCAGCCCATCCTTAAATTGTTGGTTTAGTTGTGCCCCTGCACTTGAATTGTGATGTGGGAGTTCTAATGATGGCTTCCCCCTCCAAATGTAATGAGGTGGGTTTTGTTGAAGTGTCTGGCATACTGTGTTTTTAAAAAGAAACCCATTTGAAAATTTTATGACGTACCTCTAGGAGCAGGTGAGACTTGAACCTCTGGCCCAGGGATAGGGGCGTTATCAGATTGCCACAAGATTCCTTTTCCACAGTGCCCCTCTAGCTGATTGTTAGTCAAGTAGTTTTAATCAACCTGCTCAGACATATTCTGACACACCTCCGTGGGACTTGAATCCCAGATTTTGTGTTCCAGAGGTCGGAACGCTACCAACTGTATCACAACCAATTGCTTTGTTGTGTGGACATGAAGGATGAGAATGAGGTACTAACGCAGACATTTGATCTGAAATTTGCAACGAACAAGTGATTCCTGTGAATTTCGAGGGTTCCAGAGGTTACTAACCACTTACCTTTTTGCTCTGTGAAAGTGGGAACAACTTTTTTGTGATTTGCATGGAGTTACTCCGTTTGCACATTAGTTAGTGACTCTCTTCACCCACAGAAAGTTCACCCTAGTTACTGACCCTTTCAATAAAACAAAGAATTCCGGATGCTGGAGATCTGAAATAAAAAAGGAATTCTGATGAAGAGTCACGAGACTCGAAATGTTAACTCTGCTTTCTTCCCACAGATGCTGCTGGGTCTGCTGAGTTTCACCAGCAATTTCTGTTTTTGTTACTAACATTTCAATGATGTGAAAGGTGGTTTGTTTACCTGTCTCATTATAAGTGGACTGATTATAGGGAGATAGTAGGAACTGCCGATGCTGGAGAATCTGAGATAACACGGTGTAGAGATGGATGAACACAGCAGGCCAAGCAGCATCTGAGGAGCAGGAAAGCTGACGTTCCGGGTCGAGACCCTTCTTCAGAAATGGGGGAGGGGAAGGGGATTCTGAAATTTATCCCTCTTCTATCCGCCTCCCCCTCTCTCCCTATTTATTTCAGAACCGCCTTCCCCTCCCCCATTTCTGAAGAAGGGTCTCGACCCGAAACGTCAGCTTTCCTGCTCCTCGGATGCTGCTTGGCCTGCTGCGTTCATCCAGCTCTACACCGTGATTATAGGGAGAGGTTGGACAAGCTAGGACACTTTTCTTTAGAGCATAGGAGTTTAAGGGGGTATCTTATAGAAGTGTATAAGATCATGAGAGGCATAGATAAGGTGAATGCACTCAGCCTTTTTCCCAGGGTAGGGGAATTGAGGACTAGAGGGCATCAGTTTAAGATAAGAGGGGAAAGAATACACGGGAGCCTGAGGGCGACTTTTTTTACACAGAGGATGGTACGCATATGGAATAAGCTGCCAGCAGAAGTGATTGAGACGGGTACATTAACAACATTTTAAGAAGCATTTAGAAAAATACATGATTAGGAAAGATTTAGAAGGATATGGGCCAAGTGCAAGGAAATGGGGTTAGTGTGGATGGATATTTTGATTGCATGGACCAGTTTGGGGCGAAGGGCCCTCTCATTGCTGTAGGACCCTACGACTGTATAATATGAAATATAAGTATGGAGACTTATTTCTTCAAGTTTTGAATTATTGCAGGAGAGTTTGTCAAATTTTACATCTTCTTTCTCTTTCTGTTCCTTTCCTCTCTTTCTTAATCTAGTATTTCTTTACCTCACTTTATTTTACTTTCTGCAGCTGATTTGACATTGGGTTCACTCACTGTAACACATAATCCTTCTCAAGTTTTCCTCCATTTCAGCAAGCATTTTGTACTCGCTGTTCCAGTCGCTGTCCAGAGTTGACAGTGACCCATGTTACATGTGGTCATCTGGAGATTTGCAAATTGACACACTCGTCCATTTTATTATTTGTTATGGATTTGTATTGTGTTCACCATTGCAGTGATGGTGCTGGGAGGAGCTCAACCTAATATGGGAGGGAAAGGCCAGAGATTAGATCATCATAATCCTCATCTGAGATTCTTGCATCGAATGACTCAATCACTGGAATTAATGGGAAGTAAATTTGGGAAATTGTTACACTAGGGATGTCAAGGAACATGGAATAAAGTCAGCTGGAGTTGAGCTGCAGATCAGCCATAATCAAATTGAATGGCTGAATATTGGTCAAGACTTGAAGTGTTATCTCAGGAGCTAGAATTAAATGTGTGACTTACTGTGTCCAGTACTACTATTCCCAAGTGAGTTGTAATTCCATCAGCCTTGTCCTCAGATGTTTCCTCTTGGGGAAGAATCTAGAACTAGAGATTACTGTTTAAAAATAAGGGGTCACCCATTTAAGACAGAGATGAGGAGAATTCTTTGTTCTCTGAGAAGGCCCTAAGCCTTTGGAGCTCGCTTTCTCGAAAGACGATGGAAGCAGAGTCCTTGAATACTTGTAAGATTGAGGTAGATTTGTGATAAGCAAGAGGGGTGAAAGGTTACCAGGCTAGGCAAGAAGGTGGAGTAACCAGATCCGTCTTGATCTTATTGAATGGAGGAGCAGGTCCAAGGTACTGAGTGACCCAGTCCTGCTCCTGTTCCACATGTTCTTGTGTCCTGGCCAACATTCCACTCACCACTCGGAAGATATTAGCTCATTGTTCAATAACTCAGGTGTGACTGCTACGTTTGGCAACATAATAGCAGTCACTTTGTTCCCAAGTAAGTTACAACATGTGACATTTCTTGATTCCTGTGCTGCTGTGCAGTGTAGTGTGGCACTTGCTTCTGTAAAACACAGGCAATGCTCACTGTCAGCCTAGGAAAGTAAAATCTGAGATTGTTCAGTTTCTGCTAGGTAGGGACATTCATGGCTGTGTGACCAAGGTGAGTCGGTTGGGTAGAGGTTACTGATCAGCCAGGATCTCATTTAATGCCAGAACAAGTTCGATGGACTGAATGGCCTATTCCTACATTCCTTCAGAGAAAACCTGTTCACGCGTGTAAATTGTAGTTTACACCAACCTGCTCCAAAACAGCAAAGCAGCTGCTCAATGCAGTTATACACAATGGTTTGCAGTGAATGGGACTCTGAATGATATTTAAACCAAGGCCAGTTCGTTTTTGAAAAGTGCAATCAGGGTTTGTCTGTTTTGGAATCTTCAACCAACTGGGAGCCAGATGAAACGTGTGAGACATATTGAAGACTTTATTACTTTAGACCACATGCTATGTGGTAACTGTGTTGTGTTCGATACTATAAAAACAACAATGCCTTTGCCAAAGGCTGTGCTATTACAGGGAGGCTGATGATGTGTGTAATGTGAAAGCAAGATGAAAAGAAAAAGATACTTGTCAGAGACTGTTGAAGTGTTCTTCTCAACGGAACCAAACAAATTGCAGCAAAAATGCAAGGATTTGATTTGTTATTGTCACGTACCTAGGTACAGTGAAAAGTTTAGTTTCAAATGCAGTACAGGCAGATCATATCATACAAAGTGCATTAGGGTGATAGAATAGAACGTGGAATACAATGTTGCAGTCTCAGAGAAGAGAGTGAGATCAACATTAAATTTGAAATTTGAGATCCGTTCAGAAATCTAATAACTGTGGGGAAGAAGCTGTTCTGGAATCTATTGGTACATGTGTTTAAGCTTTTGTATCCTCTACCCGACCGAAGAGATTATAACTGAGGTGGGAGGGATCTTTGATTACATTGGCTGCCTTTCCGAGGATTGTCCTGATCAATCTGTGAAATTTTGGAAAGACGTCAGTGATTTTGGAGTAAATATTTCTCATGGGACTCAGCAGGGACTCGGCCACACCATGTCACGTGCAATAGCAGGTGAAGCACAAGGTTTCTCCCGAGGTATTACTGCTAGACTGTTAATCCAGAGAACTGTGAAATGTTCTGGGTACCCAGGTGTGAATCCACCAATTGTCGAGTGCTGGGTTGATTTTGCAAAGTTTAGGCACCAGGTAAAGTTCTTCAGACTTTGCCTCTTTAGTGGTGAACAATTTCCTATTGTTTGCTGTTTGCAGTGAATTGCTGAGATTTGCACGCACATTTACAACGTGGCTATAAATAGTCAAGCTTGGCGATTCCTCTTCGATTGTCACTGTCCACTGCTGAAATCCAACAGGGTGGGACGTGATGCATCACACAGAAAGCAGTTTGGTGTCTGTTCAAGCCTCTCTGCTCCTATGATGCTGCTTGGCCTGCTGTGTTCATCCAGCCCTGCACCTTGTTGTCTCGGATTCTCCAGCATCTGCAGTTCCTACTATCTCTGGTGTCTGTTCATATTGTATTTTGTGAACGTTTCGACTGTGACCAATTGCCCCACTAGATTGTCATGTTTTTGAGTTGAAACGCATGCTCAAACAGGAAAATTTTCCAAAACACACTCCCCACCTCCCTGATAATCACTGTCTGATCTGAATTCCAATCCTAGCTGCAGGGGTTGAAGTGGAAGCAAGCTGATCCACTATGTCACCTGATCCTCGGTGGAAATCTAGTTCAACAAACCAACCACCGATTGGTCAACCCCAGGGAGCAATGTGTACATACACCATAGTAGAGGCTTGTCAGTTTACTATATGGGAATCTCCTTCACTGGAGCTTGAACCTATTCCACAAGGTATTATTGAGGTGGCTGGGATCTGGAGGAAAACCTCACGGGAACTCGTTTTGAACTGAAGCCATAACAAAGATAAAGATAATTTTATGTGAAGCAACGGGGGCAGAGAAGCATTGACTTTGAAGATAGCACTTTTATCTTGGTAACCTCTTAATAAAAATATAACACATGCATGCACTTCCAGGGACTGTGCTGTTTTTGTCATTCCTTTAGTAGTCAAGCATGAACAAGAAGCATTTTGTGTAGTATCGTTTCCCAGCATCACCCTCAGCCAATTAAAAAAACAACTCCTTTTGGGGGAGCAGGCTTAAGGAGCTAATGGTGTGCTTCTGTTCTCCCACCCTAACCCAAATCACCTTGATTTTATTTACATCGTTACATCTTATACATGTTGAGTTTGTCTGTGATCTTCCTATCTACTTCTGGAAACGATTGGGACTGAAAAGTAACCCTGAATCTTGAGAAACGCTCAATGATATTTTGTGAGTTTTCTTTTATGTCCTGAGTGCTCTTACAGTCACCTGAATATTTGTTTCTTTTCCCCCATCACCAAATCACCCATGGTATTTTTTTCATTTTCAAATGATTAATTAAATGCAAAGCCCATTAAGGGCAATGCAGACTCTCAAAGGTGAGAGAGACGTAGGGAAATGGAGTTGGAAGAGGAGAGATTTTTTTAAAGATAACTGGTGCCTTTGATACAAGCAAGCTGACACTAATCCAATAGAATGAAAGTACAAATGAATCAAGTTTACAGTCTGTGAGAACAGTATGTGGAAAAACCCTTCTAACGTCTTTTAAAAAGACCTTCTCCTTTGAGTAGTGACAAATGGACAAGTTCACCAGCTTTATAAACAGACACTTGCCAATAAAACAATACAATCCTGGCTCATTCCAGCATATATACACAACAAAAACTAAAGGCTCAGTTAAATATTTCCAAGAAAAACTTACGATGGAATTTAACCCTTGCTATTTGCAAGATTAGAAGTTAGACAGTACCAGGTTATAGTCCCAACAGATTTATTTAAAATCACAAGCTTTTGGAGCCCTGCTCGTTTGTAAAGAGTGGTGCTCTGAATGCTTGTGATTTTAAATAAAACTATAACCTGGTGTCACGTCACTCCTGACTTTGTCCACCCCAGTTTGTAAGATTGTTTAGGATGCAAAATGAAGAAAGCCCTTCAGTCCTTTTGTTGTCAAGCTTCCTAAATATGAATCTATTGTCTCGCCAAGACACAACTTCAAGTTTAACGTCACACCTAAATGTGGCATTCAGTGGGAAGGGACAATGTCCTCTCTCAATGCTGCACTGTAATGTCAACTTATGCTGCTTGATTTCAGGGGTGATGCTTTGGAATGCAATCTTTGACTGATGGGAGACCAACTAAATCAGGCTTGTGCACTGAAGCGATTCTGCGTTTGGTACTGGTGGGATCTTCATTATTTATCATGATTCTTTTCACTTTTCTGCAGGTTCTGTACAGCTCGATAAAGAATGAAAAGTTACAGTGGACAATGTAAGTATGGAGCATTAGTTTTGAGTCCTTGTCGTTGTCACAAAGCATTATAATTTTGTTGTCATTTGCTACTAGGAGTAGACAGGAAATTTTGCAGAGCTAGCTATAATTTCTGTCTGTCTGGAGCAGTGAAATCTCTTGAAAATATTAGTGTACTGCCAGGGACATTGGAAATAGTGGTGTACACTGAGTAACCCTGTGGAAATTCTGATGTACTACCTCCTGCACCTGGAAATACTCCCAGAGACACTCCACCCTCCACTCACATCTGTAATAAAATATTGATAAGCTAACTATTAGAGTCCACCCCCACAGACTAGCTGAGATTGACAGCTGCATGTATAGCTTGGTTCCTCTGGCCTTCATTGTCAGTATATTGGACTGTAACAGGCAGAAACACGTGAGATCATTCTTCCTTATGTGTTTTCGACCAGTCTGTAAGGCTTAAAGGAAGCAGATAGGATTTGGTGCTTTCTAATTGCATTGTGTCTCCCTGCCTTATAATTGCTCGAACATCTGATGGGTTCAAATGATAGTATCATATTAACTATCACAGACTAATTAGACAGATTATTGTCTTGCAAATTGGTACAGGTGGGAGATGAAGGGTAGCTTCTAAGTCATGTTCGAAATAAATGAAGGAAGCTCTACTTGTGCTCTGAACATGGATTTGTATGTACTCACATGTATCTCCCTTGGCACTGTTCAAGGTAACTTAGAGGTTTGCAGTGTTTTAGAAACATGATAAAATTTTTGGATGGAGACTGTTCAGCCCATTGTGTCTATGCAGAGTCTTTGATCAAGCAACGCAATAAATTGCCTTTCCCCGTTTGCCTTGAAGTATTGATCCAATTTTAGATCTTGCTATTGAATCTGCTGTTGGACAGTGTGTTCCAGGTCACATCTTGCAGTGTCGGAACATGTTTAGTAATGTTGGCTCTTTTGTCAATCATCTCGTGTTTGTGTCCTTCTGGGTACTGACCCTCCTGCTCCTGGGTTTCTCCTATTTACTGAAACAAAAACGTCCATGATTTTGAATACCTCAATTAAATGCCGACTTAACCTTCCTGCTTCAAGGAGAAAATCCTGCCCTTTGGAATTCCTCATCCCTCTCAAAGGGACTATTCTGTGTATCTCCCTGTTAAAGTGTAATCAATGTCAGACATTTTGAGTGAGTTTGTGTGCCCGTACATTATGGGGCTGGAGAATCAGTGTGTGCAGTTCTTTGTTTTGAAGTTTGTATTTTTCACCTCTGCCTGCATTTTGCCCCTTCAAGTCTGAATCAAAAAGTTTGCATTAGGCAATGAGGGAGTGTAAGATTGTGTCTGCCACAATGGGGGTGGTGTTCGGGCATTGTGTACCTATGCAAGGCGGTGGTGTAGTGGTAATGTTGCTGGGCAAGTAGTCCAGAACCTCGTAGATTATTGTTCTGAGAGCACGGTTCAAACCCTACTGTGGCAGATGGTAATACATGAACTCATTAAAATTCTGGAATTAAAAGGTAGCCTAATTTTTGTAAGAGCCCATCTGGTTCACTGAAATCCTTCAGGGAAGCTGATCTGCTATCTTTACCCAGTCTAGGCTCCAGCCCCAAAACAATGTGGTTGGCTCTTAACCCCTCTCTGGGCAGTTAGGGATGTGTAATAAATACTGGCCCACCCAGAGATGCTAAAATCCTGTGAATGAATGAATGAAAGAAAACGAATGCCTTAAATTTGTCATCTTTAGCTCGGATTAAAGGGTTTGTTGGAATTCCATGTCAGTGAAGGACCTGGGAAGATTTTGCGATGACCTTTTAAATGCCTGTTGTTGTTAGGTTGTTACCTGTGACAGGAGCCTGTAAGTTGAGTAATGGTGGCACTAGACCGCTGTTTTATTTATTTATTTTTAAAAATACGCCGAGACCCGGAACGTGCTTCCTGAAGGGGTGACAGAAGTAGATTCAACAGTAACTTCATAGAATCTACAGTGTGGAAGCAGGCCATTCTGCCCATCGAGTCCACACAAACCCTCCGAACAGCATTCCACCCAGACCCACCTCCTCCCCTAACCCTATCCCTGTGACCCTGCATTTAGGGTACTGTGATGTACATCAACCCACTGGGGAATGGGTGCAGTTATCCCCTTGGAAGGGGGTGCCATGTTTTGCAAAGGGCCAGTGTGGAGCAGGGGTGCTCATCCTTTCCTCGCCACTGACACAGAAATTGTGTGAGCTGCGGCTTTCATCTGTTACCTGAGATCGAGTGCAGCTATTGACTAACGGGGATGTGACCTGGATGTGAGTGTGAGTGGTTCGAAGCTTGGTCAGTCTTCACATGGGGCTCAGGCAGCCCTCTCCTGGCCAAGTGGGTGTGTGTCGGACACTCAAACCCAGTCTTGATGCTGACGGGAAAGCTCACTGCCTTCGCTGTGGGCGAAGAAGAGGCCAATGTTGTTACTAATGCTTGCAATTCTGAGATCTTCACCAGGGTCCTGCAAATGGAAAAATCTCAGAGTGAAAATCCGCCCTACCGTGTGGCTAAGACGCGTGATCCAGTAGTCTTGCCACCGTGCAGGTCGGGTGATCCATTTCAAGACTTTGCTACTTGATCTCTTGCCAGGTACAACTTTCAGCATTTTGGGCATCATCTCCATCTCTAACTGCCGTGTTCTTGGCAAAGTAACGCCCAGAGGGAGACCGTGTGTAAGTTGTCCTGAATGTCCCAACACCTGTGTAGGCTGGCGTAACTCCATGGTGGACAGCACTGGGGTGAAGCCTGAGGATGTAGTTACTTGGGGAGATAGCAGAAGCAGGCCATTCAGCCCCTCCGTCTGCTCTGCTATTCTTTTAAGAGCATGGCTGACCTACCTCAGTGCCACTTCCCTGTGCAATTCCCATGTCTCTTGATATCTTTAACACTAATCTCTCTCCCTCGAATACAGTCAATGACTGCGTTTCCACAGCCCTCGGGGATAAAGAATTCCAAAGATTCACTGAGTGAAGAAAGTCTTCCACATCCTGGTTCGAAATAGCCTGCCCCTTATTCCAAGAAAGTGAACCCTGGTTCCCTTATGTCGTCAGCTGAAACATTAAAACGAATTTCCCGCTTTCTGCCTTGGGCGAACGTAAAAGAATCCATGAAACTATTTTGAAGGAGAGCAGGGAGGTTCTCCCTGCTTCCCGGGTCAGCACTAACATCTCAATCAAAATTGCAAAAAGCAGCTAATCTGGCCGTTATCATGATGTTAATGGGATCTTGCTGTGCATGCTGCCTTGTAATAGGGCCTCGCTGTTCAAAATATTTCACTGGCCATGGAGCGCTTTGGGATGTCCTGAAGTCATGAAAGGTGCCATGTAGATCAAAGTTATTTCTTTTTTAACGTGCCAGACCTTTTAATATACCCAACTCACTGATTCTTGAGGTTGTAACTGGGTGAAGCTAGTCTCTCTCGCTTGAGCATAATTACCAAAATATTAAACGTAAAAGCTCTTTCAGGATCAGGACACTACTTCTTGAATAGATGTGGTGTCTGCTGCGCCGTTGAACTAACCTCCCTCCCGTTATACTGCATTGTTCTATGTCATAAACCTCCCCACGCCATTGCTTCAGTCACCATTGAATGTAGCAATATCACACGTATTTATTGAATTACTTTCACAGCTCCATCCTACAGTTTACAGGTCTGGAATTTTAATAAATCAGAGAGGTTTGTTTTTGAGCGTGTGGCCTACTAGGACATTCTGAAGCCTGCGTTGTCAAGGTGACTGACAGCTGCAATTGATAGATGGTGAGCAGGAGAATATCAATGGAGAACATAATTTATTGCTGAATAATAAATATTTCTGTAATACTTGTCAGTTGATTACTCATTCATCAATAAATTATTCAGCTTCTTGTGTTGCTCCTGGTTTCTGGGTAAGGTATTAATAGCATTTCAGACCACCATCTGCATTCACATAAAAGACGATTCATAGCATTGTACAACCCAAAGGGAGTCCATTTGACCCATTGTTGCTGTGCTGGCTCTTTGAAAGTGCCTCCTAATGAGCTTCACTTCCCTGCTTTATGCTCTGTAACCTTATAAAATCTTCCCTCCTCAAATATTTATCCAGTTTTGTTTTAGGATGTTAAGGTGGCTCAGTGGTTAGCTCTGCTGCCTCTCCGCGCCAGGGACCTGGATTCCATTCCATCCTCTGGCGACTGTCTGAGTGGAGTTTGCACATTCTCACTGTGTCTGCGTGGGTTTGCTCCAGTTTCCTCCCAAAGATGTGCAGGTTGGGTGGATTGGCCTCGCTAAATTGCCTGTACTGTCCAGGGATGTGTCGGTTGATTAACCATGGGAAATGCAGGGTTAGAGGGATAGGGTTGGGGGAGGAGGTGGGTCTGGGTGGGATGCTGTTCAGTGAGTTGGGGTGGACTCAACGGGCTGAATGGCCTGCTTCCACACTGTGTCCTCTGATTATTGGGCCTCCTGTCTGTTTCTGCATGCCTACTTGATCATCACTCTGTGTAATTTTGAGCAATTTCCTTAAATCAGCACTTAGCCTTCTCCACTCCAAGGAACCCAACCCCGACTTCGCTTCCCTCCAAAGAGCCGAGTAAAAAGAGAGCATGATGCTGTGAATGTTGGAAGTCTGAAATAAAGTCATGGCAGTTCTGAGCTAGGGTCACCGGATCCAAAACATTTAACTTTGATTTATTTTCACAGATGCTGCCAGACCTGCTGAGCTTTTCCAGCAACTTCTAGTTTTGTTTCTGATTTACAGCATCCGCAGTTCTTTCAGTTTTTAAAATCATCAAATGCCGGCCGCGCTCAGCTGTCTAGGCTGTGATTGAGGAAAAACAGTTAACATTTGAGGTTAAATCCCCTCTGATGGTACAGTTAAGCAACTCTTTTACATAATTCCCAAAGCAGATGTGTCTCATCTTAATCAGTAGACCATGTGTTACGCATTAGGTAAACACACTCATCACCTCTGGGAAATGGAAGGCACAGATTGTCATTATTTTATATCGAGA